GGATCGAGAGGCAGCTGTGTGAACAGAACAAGGAAATACTGCATGGCTTAAAATCAGGAAGATGTTTGTCAGAGTGTATCCTCTTACCATACTTATTAAATCTGCATGCTGAGTGATCGTCTGAGAAACTGGATAATATGAAGAAGAATTCAACATCAGGTTGGAGGAAAGTAGGTGAGTCAACCTTGCTTGCTGTAAGTGAGGAGGACTTGAAGCACTTGCTGATGAAGATCAAGGATTGCAGCCTTTGGTATGGACTATGTCTCAATGTAAAGAAGACCAAAATCCTCACAACTGAACCAATAGGTAACGTCATGATAAATGAAGAAAAGATTGGAGTTGTCAAGAATTTCATCTTGCTTGGATCCACAATCGATGCTCATGGCAGCAGCAGTCAAGAGATCAAAGGATGTATTGCATTAGGGAAATCTGCTGCACGAGACCTCTTTAGAGTGTTGAAAAGCAAGGATCTTACTTTGAGGACTAAGGTGTGCCTGACCCAAGCCATGGCATCTCCAATTGCCTCGTATGCATGTGAAAATTAAGCATTGAATATGGAAGTCTGAAGGGATATTGATGCATTTGAATGATGGTGCTGGCAAAGACTATTGAAGGTACCATGTACTGCCAGAAGAACCAACAAATTTGTCTTGGAAGAAGTAGAGCTAAAATGTTCCTTAGAGGCAAGCATGGTACAGGAGAGACCAGTCCCTGGAGAAGGGCATCCCGCTCGGTACAGCAGAAGGGCAGTGAAGAAGAGGAAGGCCTTCAACGATATGGATTAACACAGTGGCTGCAACCATGGACTTCGACGTAAGAACAGTGTGAGCATGGCACAGGGTGGGCAGTGCTTTGCTCTGCTGTGCACAGTGCTGCTGTGAATTGGAGGGCAACCAAAGCAGCAGTGACATCGCAGATAGAGGCTCGTTTATCTGACTTTTTAAAACCAGGACAGAAGGATCTGGTTGTTTTATGTCAGGCCATTAGCCGTCTTTTGCTTTTGTTCTGAGGTCCTTTGAAAGTGCTCTGCAAGGTATTAGAGTCATGACAATAGAGTTATTTCCCTTTCCAGCCTTTGCTTTTATATCACACTTGTTATTTCTGACTCAAGTTCATTCACAAAGAGTGATGTGGGAGCTGAGGTCATAGCTATATTAGGATTTATTCCTGAGTGCTCAGCCAAGGTTTGAAGAGCTTATCCCTGAAATCTTCACTGATTTGTCCTAGATATTTAAAAACACAAATTGGGATCAAGACTGGGCTTTCTACTCCTGTAAGCAGTTGCAGTCTGGGAAACCCACAGTGGGGTCTCTATGAGTCAGCACTGACTCAGTGGCCATGGGGTGGGCAGGGGTATAACTTAAATGCCAGAAGCGGATGACCTGAACAAACAGACATTTTTTCTCTCACCATTTAGGAGACTAGGCGTCATCACTCAGGGTACTGGATCTACAAGAAGCGTTATCTTTTCATCAGCTGTAAGAGAAAGCCCTCGTGTCCTTTCAGTATCCATCGACCTGGTTTTCTTTAGCCATCGACATGTGTCTCGGCATCAATCTTCCTCTGGCTCTAGGACAGTGGTTTCCAACCTGTGGTCGTCATCTCTTTGGGAGTCGTTCGAACGACTTTCACAGGGGTTGCCTAAGACCATCAGTAAACACACAAATATTTTACAAAATACAATTACATATTGTTTTGTGATTGATGACTATGCTTTCATTATGTTCAATTATGTTCAATTTGTAACAATGAAAATACATCCTGCATATCAGATATTTATATTACAAGTCAGACAGTAGCAAAATTACAGTTATGAAGTAGCAACGAAAATAATTTTATGGTCAGGAGTCACCACCACATGAGAAAGGGTCGCGGCCTGAGGAAGGTTGAGAACCACTGGATGAGGAGGTTCTCATGCAGGGATACTGGTTCCAAAGGGTGTGTTTGGCTCCCAACTCTGTCTCGATGCTAGTCAAGTCCCACGGATCCCTCACTGGTTTAATCGCTTTCGTATCAATCAACCAAAGAAGATTGACTCAAGATACTATCTAATCTGCAGGTTTTATACTGCCTCGTTAGCATAATTGGCTCTGATCCTGCCTCATTAACACCATAGATGATAGAATTTACAAAACATGGAATCATTATTTAAATGGGGGAGAGTTACATAATACTGAGAATCATGCTCTAGCCAAGTGGATATATTTTGGGGAAATACAATTCAACCCATAACAGGACTCATCCTTTCTTTGCTTATGGAATTAAATTAAAGTCCACTCTATATTTTCATGATGAATTTTAGATATAAACTTCAAAAGAACTTGTTAAATATCTACAGGGTTTGTAAATCCCTCTGTTTTCCTGTGAAACTTGTCGTCTTATAAGACATTCAAAAATGCATCCCAATCTCTCTCTCTCTTTCTCTCTCTCTCCTTTTGTGAGGTTACTACTAACATATGAACCAGTTGATGTAAATCTGAGAACGCTGTCTTATACATCCCAGAGTTAATTATAAATTCCTTGTTTGCTTCATTTTGTCTTGTGGCTTTGGAAAATATTTAACAGATTTGTTTAGCTCAGTCTGAGATCAGATCTTAAAAGAAATAATAGTGGCTTTTACTTGTTCTGAGGGGTTTTTACTTGTTCTGAGGGGTTTTTACTTGTTCTGAGGGGTTTTAAAGTGTTGAAAAGCAAAAATGTTACTTTGGAGACTAAGGTGAGCCTGGCCGAAGCCAAGGTATTTTGGATCGCCTCCTTTGCATGTGAAAGTTGGGCTTTGAATAAGGAAGATAAGAGGAATTAGTGCATTTGAATGGTGGCCCTAGTGAAGAATATTGAAAGTATCATGGACTATTGAAAGAACAAACAGATCTGTCTTGGAAGAAGTACAGCCAGAATGCTCCTTCTAGGCAAAGATGGCATGACTTCTCACGTCCTCCTGAGGTGTTGTCAGGAGAGACCAGTTCCTGGGAAGTGACATCTTACTAGGTTAAGTAGAAAGCCCTCAAGGAGAGGAGTTGACAGTGGCTGCAGGAATGAGATCAACTATAAGCACAATTGTCAGGATGGCCCAGGACCCAGCAGTGTTCCGTTCTTTGTAGATCGGCTCTCTGACTTGGAACTCACTGGACAGCACACAAGAGGGACTTCAGGAGCCCGGTAGTAAACGGAGCTCCAGTGTTAGGCTGCTAACCTCAAGGTCAGCAGTTCACAACCACACGCCATTCCATGGGGAAAAGGTGAAATTTTCTACTCCTGTAAATACTTACAGTTTAGGAAATCAAAAGAAACAGTTCTACTCTGTCCTGCAGTGTTGCTATGAGTTGGAATCAATTTTCTGGCAGTGAGAGGGGTTGAGCTTTCAAAGGCAATTGCGCTTTGAGGTTTTCTCCCCTCTCAGTGAATGGCCCCTTCCCGACACAAAGGCCCCAAACCAGGGAGTTCTCTTGGGCTTCTCTGTCTGTCTCCGGTGCTATATCCAATAACTCATCAGAAACGACTTCCATTTCCTGTGGCAGTATTGATGTGTGTATGAAGTAGTTCAATACAGATGTTGGAGGAAGAGGGAAGCATTTTTGCATTTTAAGATAACATAATAAGCAGATGCCACAGGAGAAAAAGGAACTAGCACATTGCCTAACACATTTAAACAGGCATTTATTGATTTGATGAGATTTTTATAGGAATATGTTTTCACAGAGGTGTCAGCTTCATTTGGTGACGCTGCCTGCCTCATAAAGAAGATTCAAAGGATGCTTGGGTCTCTTTTATGTCTCTTTACTGAGATTGTGCGCATCTTTATACATTGATAATAACACAGAGGAGAAATGCTGGCACATTTTACCATTATGCAAATAAGTGAACTGGCTTTTCAGTAACTTTCGTAATATAAATTGCTAATTTCTGTTTAAAAAGAAAAGACAGAACTCCTTTATAAAATGACCCTGGCCCCAAGCTGTTTTATAAAACAAGGCTTTTCTGAGGCCCATCTCGAGAACGTACATTTCTTTGGCAGGTGGTCTGCAAGACGGCGTGGATGCACACTCACATGGGCACACCGCTGCATTCAGATGGTAGTGAAGCGTTCCTGGGCTGATTGTGGCCACTACATCTAGGAGGAGATGCGGTTTGTTTCTGTCGGGTTCTGTCTAACCATTGAGATCTGGGGAGTAGACTCTGAAGATAGCTCTTGTGGTATCAGGGCCCGATATCTGATCTCCATCTCACAGGGAGCCTCCATTGTTGTTCCTTTTAATTACTATTACTATAATCATACTTTTTCATTTCTTTGCATGACTCGCCTTTTTTTTTTTTTAACTGAAAACAGGGCATTTTAAATAAGATATTGCAGCATTTCTGGAGAAAGCGGAGAGCTGGGGCAGTAGTCTGGGGTCTTCTCCACTGGCCTCTCCTACTATAAAACTGCCATCTCAGGAGCCAGGTCAATGTGACTCAGCCTTTTCAAGTGCCATTTGGGCACTTGGCAGAAGAAGGAAGCCCTCACTTCTCAATAACATTCGCTTAGGACTTAGCTACGGCAGCAAGCACCTGGAGAAAGGACGAGAAGCCATGACTTTCTCCTCCTCCTGGGAGGAAAGCCGTGGGTCTAGGTGTTGGAGAAAGAGGGAATTCTATGCTCTTGGCTGCAGTGGTTTGGAGTGGATTCTCTGCCTTCCTACACCAGCAAGAGGGGGTGGCGGGTGTCTTAGTTCAGATATCACCTGTTCTAGTCATTCTTCCCAGATTTTTACAGGTGTTCCCTTAGGAATCTTTCCAACCCAATCAACAAATCCCCCATGTGGCACAGTGGTTACATGTTGGGCTGCTCACCACAAGGTCAGCAGTTTGAAAACACCAGCAGCTCCTTGGGAGGAAGACGAGGCTGTCTACTCCCATAAAGAGTTACGGTCTTGGAAACCTACTGGGCCAGTTCTGCCCTGTCCAGACAGGATTGCTAGGAGTAAGGAAGCGAGGTTTTTTGTTTTCCTTTGTTTGTTTAATCTTGTATCTCCCCAGGAAAGACGCATAGCACTATTGAATGACTATGGAATTCCCTGGAGAATCTTAATCTTTGGTGACAGCATTCAGAGCTCTTGGTCTCGGTTCCACGAGCCCTCTTTGAAATGACCTGTGTTGGGTTTTGCCATCTAGTCAATTCCAGCCCCCAGTGCTCCCTGTGCGTCCGAGGAGCACTGCCCATGCTGTTGTTAGGTCTTTCAGAAGCGAGTCACCTACTCCTTCTGCCTAGTCTGCTCCTGGGCTGCAAGTGCTGCCGAAGCTGCTCACCGTAGTATGTGAAACACCAGGGGCCTCGCTTCCGGCATCACAACAACACACAAGCTGCCACAGCATGACAAACTGACAGAAGCGTGGGGAATAGAATGGCACTCCATAGAATTTTCAATGGCTGTATTTTTAAGAAATTCACCAGGTCATTCTTCCAAAGGATTATTTTCAGAAAATTTAAATTATTATTTCTGTTTTGTTTGCTTTGTTTTGTGATCCCCCTCTTTTCACCGAAGTTCAGCAACACTGGCTGATATTTCTCTTCTTTTCTTTTTTTAAAGCAAGGTGTGACTGTTAATGAAAATGGACAATATAAAGTCAGCCAGTGGATGCATTTTACAAATATATATTTGTAAGTATATATGTGTATATATTAGTTAAATATTTAAAAGGACAGAAAAAAACAACCAAGCTCTTCTCTTTCCCAATTAAGCATTCTGGAATGCACTGGGCCTAAAGGAGAGCACATTTACATTAGTATATTTTTAAATAGCTTTTAAGCACATGTCACTGGGAGTGACTCAGAGGACCCCCTCATGCTGGTCCACCCTACTGAGTCTGAAGAACCGTTTCCAAGTACTGTCAATCAAGCACAAGATCAAACACCCAAACGAAACGCATTGCCATCGAGGCAACTCTGACCCATGCCCTGTCCCTAGAGGACAGGGTAGAACCGTCCCTGCTGGTTTCTGAGACTGTAACTCTTTGGGGGAGTAGAAAGCCTTGTCTGTCTCCCAGGGAACCGCTGGTGGTTTCGAACAGCTGACTTTGTGGTTAGCCGCACAGCAAGTAACCGCTATGCCACCAGGCTCCTAAGTTAAAATATAGGTGGGCTAAAAACCAAGCCAACACTGCCATCAAGTCGACTCCAACTCACAGAGACATCTGGCCCAGGGTCTAAGGCAGCGCCGTGGCCTGTGAAATCAATATTTCAGACACACCTGTTGGAAAACTCCATGTAAGGGACCTTCTCCTGACATTTACCTTAATATAGATGTTTATTTGGTAATATTTCCAGAAGAGAGGCAAGCAGGTGGCTATGTGAAAACGAATCCATGTCATGAGGTATAGTATCCATTAAAAAAATTCTTAAAAAGAAGTATTACAATGAATTGTTTTCAATTATAAAATACCTATGGGAGACATTCTCCTTATATGACATCATTAGGTATATACAGCACCAAGAGATACCTGCGATTGTCCTCATCTCACGAATGAGCAACTTACATTCAAAGCACTTATAAAAGGTTATTGTGAAGCCAGCCCCACTGTGGTAGTTAGAGTTTATGTCAACTTGATGACAGCTGTGTGGAGGGAGGCGAGGGGCCCAAGCTGTCCATCAAGTGGTAGCCTGAAGACACCTCCCTGTGGGTGTGGCCTGATGTGTAAGAGTGAGGGGCACTGGGAACTGCCTCTTTCTTTTGTCTTCCTGCTTGCTGGGACTCTGTGTCTGCCTCCAGGCAGGGCCCCTTGTGGGTGCCAGTGTCCTGCCACATTTCCACTGGCCTTTAGTCCACTGACTGCACCTGCTAGCCTGTGATCTCCCTGCTTCTGGCGTCATCTTTGGGTGTCATCGGCCTGCAGTTAGGTGAGTCTGAGGAGGGCCCCAGCTAGCATTAGACCTATGAACCTGTGTTAAACAGGGCTGGGGCGCCTTTGTGATGTAAAGTTGTTTCCTGTTACAAAGTTCTTTCTTGTGCTCAGATGAGTGCCACGGTGGTGTTTTTTTTCTCTAGGCAGTCCAGCCTGACACACCATCTTTGACCCTGGAGCCTAGAATTGGTCTTCTCCCTAGAATTGGTCTTCTCCCTGTCACAACTGACTGAGCTGGGAATTCTTCCCTGCCTGAGAAAGGTGTCGGTCACTTTCTGCTCAGGATATATTAGGATCCTTTTGTGACATTATTAAAAGAGAAACCTCTTCTAAGTTGAGGGTTTTCTGATCGTCTTGACCAGGTCAAGGATGGGGAAAGGGCACTGTGGAATGACAAGTTCCATTTTCTTGGTCTTTCGGGTTCTAATAATAACATAGCTTTAGTTATTTTATTTTGGTGTTGGAAAAAAAATATTTACGGGCAGAAAGTGAAGTGTACATCTCAAGCATTCTCCGTATATATTTTCATGTTTAACGCCTAAATCCAATGATATGTTGACTCATGTTTAACAGCCAGCCATCTGGAGTAGGGGGGCAGAGAAGGAGGAGGCCGATTTATAGCATTTTCTGATTTCCCTGGCGTAAATGTCCCCACTTTGGCATATTCCAAGCTACCAATGAAAATGCAGCAATCTGCTCTCTCAAGCCTACGTAAACAAGTCCCAGCACAGCACTGCTTAAAGCTGCCACAGAGGGAAAAAATCAGCTAGAAAACATTCCAAATCCCAATGGCCATAACTGACTGGACCTCAAACCTTCAAACCTCTTATGGTTTGAAGCGTGCTCTCCTGTGAAATGCAAACACCTCTACGAGCAGCCACACATTCGTTATTGTCAGTCATTGCCATCTTACAAAGGTGGGTACTGTTCAAATCTACAGCTGCGGGATCTGGGGAGAGGCGTTTCTTTTGCACCATAGACTATGTCTGAAGATGGAATAGGGAAAACAGTGTTTGTGCACTGCTGTTTTCAGATGTACTTTAATATTGAAGCAATTGACGGTATCCCATTTTGGATTATAGCACTACTGAACCTACAGGGAGTTTTTGTTTGTTTGTTTGTTCTCTGCCCTTCTGAACTTTCTCACTGGATACAGAAGAAGAAAAGAACAATCACTACTGTACTTCAGTTGTGAGCCAAGTTTGGAAGAGAGGACAGTCTATAGACATTTCTATGTTAAAAAGCGTTTTCAAAAATGGGAGATTAAAATATTCAGCAAATGACACCATAACGATGTAACTAGCCAAATCTAGTATGGGGGAAATTCTAGTAGACAAATGACCTGGTTTCCTTACTAAATAGATGGCATGAAAAGTAAAACTGAGAAATGTATTATAGGGTTAGTAGACAAGTCAACTAAATCTAATGTAAGGATCTTGATTAGAGTTTTGTTCAAGCAAACAAGGGTATTGTTGAAAAAAAGGGAAATTTGAACACAGTCTTGTTAATAAATGTTAATCATGAAAACCATTGGTAATTTTGCTAGTTAAAAGCAAGTTTGGCAAATGTTAGCAAGTAGGGTCATGGTTAAATAAGAGCTCTCTTCTCTATTTTCCAGTTGAGTTTGTGATTTTCCACAATTAGAAAATATCCAAAGCATGCAAAAGGGATCTTTTGGAAAAGCTGAAAATTACTGTCATAGAAATAATAAAGATATAAATGTATATTATGCAACTGAAAGTTAAGAACTCATCTCTAGCATGACAGTTCAGAATGATTTCAAAGACATTAACCAGAATAAGGAGCCGCTTTCCTATTTTTAACTAGTATTTTCCATTCTATACCATTGACCAGATTAACAATATGAATCGTACAAGTACCGTATGTCCCATGGAGGTTATTTATGTTATTTCTCAAAGGGTTAATGCTGCTTCTAAAGTAGATCAGAGAGATCTATAAACCTTACATGTGAATGGATTCTGAGCGCACACTTACTCATAGCCCAATCTATGCACAAACAGTTCTTATGGTGCGGGTCTTGATCGGTACTGACCCCTATGAAGAGATCACTGAAGATATGGGCACATAGTAAAGTGGGGTGTCTAAGTCAAATGGTGAGCAACTGTGGGAAAGAATAGGCTCTGGGGTCTGAAAGGCTTGTTTTCCAACAATAGTCATTTAAATGAGATGCCATCTTAGCCCAACAGCTTGTGTGATCAAAGAATTATTCATAGTAATAGCCCGTGCTTGGTGGGGGAGGGAAGGCGGGTGATTGTACTAGGACTTAAATTCTGAGCAACTTGGTTTGCAAAAGGCTCTGGATGGCAGTGACAGCCCAAAATCCCTTTGCAGAATTCTCACATAGATTAAACCTTCATTCAATGCTTTCTGATCATTAACCAAAAATCGAGATAATCTTGCCCTCAGGCAGGGTGCCTTGGATGGTAGATTGCCCCCAGCACTCTCCAGCCATCGCTGGAAGGGGCAGCCTCCCTCTCAGGAGCTGGCCTAGGTGTGTCCTGGATGGAAGTCACCATACCTGGACAGTGCAGGGGTCACATAGTCATGAGTCTTGCCCTATCAGTCTCAGTCTGCCGGCCTTGGTCAGGCAGCCCTGGATCAATCTTGTAACCCCTTCTATCAAATAATGTACGTGTCCCAATCCTGCTTCTGTAGTCCTGCCTATAACAGTGATGCACTGATCTGTCATCCATCATGCTTTTGTGACAGTTTCCTTTGCCCACTTGTGCCCTTTATAAAGTTTGGTATCTTAGTGAACCCTTGGGCACCAGTTTGACCACCTGCCAATACCCTTCCTCATTCAGATGATGAGTCTGTGACTTTGTACAACACAAAATTGTCCCTTTAAGACTTAATAAATGTTCTCCTTTCATGATTACAACACTACATGGAATATGGAAACGTGGTATAGAGAGACCCCCCACAGCCTTGGCAACAAAAGGAGAAACTATAGGTGAGGCTTCTCTGTGCTGTGCTTGTCAGGAAAAAGGAGGTAGAACATTCCAGAAGAGTCACAGCATGACCAAAGACATGGAAGATGTGCCTTCAAACCCAAACCAAACTCAATGCCCCCAGTCCGTTCCAACTTCCCGTGACTCTGCAGGACAGAGAACTACCTGCTGTCTTCACAAGAGCAGACAGCCCCATCTCTCTGCTAGAGAGCAGCTGGCGAGTTTGAACCACTGACCTTGCAGATAGTAGCCGAAGACTTAACCCATTATGCCACCAGG